GGCCTTTGTCGTTGCAGCAGTACGTGAAAAGTAGGTTAGCACACAAATATGCTTGTTTTTGGTTTTGCGCATACAGGGTATATTCTGATCGGCTATTGCTCTGCTAATTTGTGATTAACAAATCATTTCAATTTTTTTTATATGTTCTTAATGAACGTTTTAATTGTCAGCCAAAGCTGAGAACGGGCGAATTTCATCGCGGAGTGTTGTAGCGAGTGTCATAGTAGCGAGTGTTATAGTAGCGAGTTTTATAGTAGCGAGTGTTGTTACAGCGAGCTGTCATGGCAAATACAGCCATTAAAAGGCAAATAACACCCCGACGGTCAGTGTCATGCAGAGAGTGTCGTAGCAGCGAGTGTTATTGCAACGAGTTATAGTAGCGAGTGTTGCTACAGCGAGTTGTCATGGCCAATGCACCGATTAAAAGGCAAATAACACCCCGACGGTTAGTGTCATAGCAAAGTGTTGTAGCAGCGAGTGTCATAGCAGCGAGTGTCATAGCAGCGAGTGTCATAGTAGCGAGTGTTGTTACAGCGAGTGTTGTTACAGCGAGTTGTCATGGCCAATACAGCCATTAAAAGGCAAATAACACCCCGACGGTCAGTGTCATGCAGAGAGTGTCGTAGCAGCGAGTGCTATAGCAGCGAGTGCTATAGCAGCGAGTGGCATAGTAGCGAGTGTTGTTACAGCGAGCTTTCATGGCCAATGCACCCATTAAAAGGCAAATAACACCCCGACGGTCAGTGTCATGCAGAGAGTGTCGTAGCAGCGAGTGCTATAGCAGCGAGTGGCATAGTAGCGAGTGTTGTTACAGCGAGCTGTCATGGCCAATGCACCCATTAAAAGGCAAATAACACTCTGTCAGCCAGTGTCATAGTAGAGAGTGTTATAGCAACGAGTGCCAGTTCCCGCTTGATTCGCATGCAAAACTGAGATGACCTTGTGCCGAAATTACGGCACCTTATGCCACAGCCACAGTCGCAGCAATAGCTCCGGACTGTACGCAATTAATTGTGTAAATATCTAAACACAACACACAGCGGCATAACAGGTAAACATTTGCCCAGCTGCCACACACACACACACACACACACATACACACAGTAACAAGCCCCTGCCAGTCAGCAGTCCCCTTCTCTGCAGCAGCATTTGAAAAATATTTAATCTATTTAGGTTTTTGTGGGGGTAAATGAAAATACTTTCCAAAATATGCACAATGTCTGTTTGTTTGCGTGTGCGTGTGTTGGCGGGCAAATGATGCATGCAAATTCCACGAAATTAATAATTGAAAATCGAAAGCAAACATTGACCGTTCCGAATCAAATTTCGAATTTTCTAATGCACGATAACTAATGTATGTTGTCCAGGCAATATATTTGCTTTGGCTTTTAACGTTTTCATATGAATTAGCAGAATCAGCAGCAGGAAATTGTGAATCAATAAGATCTGAGGCGAAATAATGGCATTTGCTTCTAACTTTAGTTTAGTCTAGTTTCGATTTTAGATTATATATAGAACATTGGAAGAGAATCGAGTAATATGTACACGATTAGTTTTACCTTCAGCTTGACTCCGGCAATAGCATCTATTAGCATATAGACACAAGTGTAATTTAAATTCACATTCGACTTTCAGTTTACAGCCACTGTTAATCACATAACAGGTCATTTTTGAGAATCGCAGAGGACGGCAGGCGTTACGTTTAATAAGTTGCAACATTTCAAATTTCACATTCTACTTCTTTTCATTCTCTCCTTCCTACTCACTCTCTCTTTCTTACTTCTACTCACTCTCTTAGTTACAACATGAGCATCAAGCTGGAGCGAGAACCTGTTGCGAATTATAAGCGAAATTATTGTAGAAGCATAAAATTTAAAGTATTCATGGACTATCAAAGTGAACTCAGATGCGTAAGCTTGTTGGGGCACGTGGCTGGGCAAAATTCAATGCCTTGTTTTATGGTTCTCTTTCTTATTTTTTTTTTTTAATACTTTTTACTATTGATAAGCGATAGACATGACAACAACCTTGTGACGTAACATCAGCCAACGGAAGTAAGTAAAAAAGAGTAGTTCGTGCTTGTGCTTGTACGATTATTATTTTTTTTATTATTATTATTTTTGTTTTTAATTTTCCTCAAATTGATAGTTGCAAAACTAGCTAACATTAGCCCTGCGACGAGCAGGCATTTATGCCGAGCGCTGAACGTTATCGAAAGAGCTGTCTTATCAGCCAGAAGAAGCGACGAGCGATGTGAGCTGTGGCCAACGTCACGAATGACAACCAAATATATTCCCATTTTCCATTCCACAAATTTAATTAAACATAGATATTGAATTATGTTTATTTGTGCCGTATTGGCGTCGACGCAGCGTCGCGTCGCATAGTTTGTGCCCTCCACCTGGTTTACGATTTACACAATTGGATGCAGCCGGTCCAATTGGAGCCACAATTTGGCCGATGAGTCAGTCGAAAATGGGTTTAAGTTGACAAATTATATGGTTTGTGGGCAACGAGCAAGGGTCGGGAGATACGGTTTCTGGTCGGCATTGGGTATAATAAATAAATCTTAAGATAACTTTAGCCCACAATCATTCGTTTTTATCTACATAATGTAACAGTATATACATATATGGCCCATTAAAAGGCTGCTACTTTGGGTGTCGTATGCGATTGCCATGAATGAATGAATATTGTTGCGCATAAACAACTGCTCATTGGAAGCGCAATGCTTTTGGACTGAATCATGCAGATGCAATTTCAATATCTGATTTGCTTGGCGCTTAACTAGCACGCAATATGAACTGTTTGCTGTGATGTGTGAGACACAGTTAAATGAATTTCATTGTCTCATTGGCTCATTCATAAGTGCGAGTAATGTTCACAATATAATGGCATGGGCAATCTCAATTAAAAGCCTAATTAAATGATGCGAGCATTCGAATGCATTTAATAAACCGAATGTATTGTATGGCATATAATCACTCAATATTTGAATTAACATTTTACAAATGATACATGTTATTCGAATGCATTCAGGGATATGATTCGAGTAATTTTATACAATTTAAATTGTTCAAATAAAATGAGTCCATTTTATGGCAAATAATCACTCAATAAGTTGAAATATTTCAATTGAACTTATTATAAATGACTCAAGTTAATCGAATGCATTCATTTGAATGATTCGAGTAAATCAAAACAATTGAAATTGTTTAAATAAATCGATTGTATTGTATGGCAAATAATCACTCAATAAGTAGAAATATTTCGTATGAAATTAGACAAATGATTCAAGTTAATCGACAAATAATTTGCAAATATATCTAATTATATTGATTGAATTTTTGAAATTGTTTCGGTTGCAATCCTAGTTATAGTAATAATCGAACCTTTATACTAATTAAATATTTGTTTTCTAGCATATTTGTCTAAATGTTACGAGCTAATTGGGTTGATTCATTCATACGATTCGAAATTTGCAACTGCATACAAATTTATCAAACTTAAGTCTTTGCTTGTGCCCAAAGGATTAGAGAGATGCGCATGATTAAAGCGAATGTATTTAATTGCATATAAAAAATACTACAAATTTCTCAAAAAAAAACTCTTTAAGGCTGTCAAAACGATAAGCTAAAACATGACCCATAAGCATTGGTGCTAACTAATTGAATTGGGTTATGCAACTGCATTCGAATAATTCAAGTGATTCGAATGCATTTAGAATTTCTAAGAAATGTGAATGCTTTGGGTAACCCGCCCTGGACGTTAGCTGAGAGCTAGGTGCACAACAAGTCCAATTACTTATAGTATATACTGTAGATACATATAGACGTGTTTATGGAATCACATATGCAATATGTGTCTCAATCTCGGCTCGTTTTCAATCGGGCACAAGACCCAAGTGGGCAATATGAATTGCATTGGATTTGACAAATCTTAATTGAAAGAAGTGCGCAGGCGGTGTCGGCTAGTTTGTTACAGATCGGTAGTTGTTATTTTTTGTTATTGTTGGTTTAGCTGTAAATGCCAGATCGCCGGGTCGGTTGACTTCGTCTCGCGCTTATGACAATTAATTGAGCGCATTATTGTGCACTATGTGTATATGTATGTAGAGATGCACAGACATATATATATATATATATATAGCTATATGAGACTTTAAGCCGGAAATGCGACACGCTTTTCAATTAGGGCAGCAAAATAAAGCTGCTCAATAGATTGACTTGCTTGGCCTTTGCATCTAGCTGAACTGGATCAAATGTGATGACAATATATTTATACATATATAAAAATATATATTTTACACAAACTTACAGCTGAAGGTAACAAGTTTAAGGATTCTACATATTCTAGCTGAAGGTAAGTTTAGATTCAGAACTTTGACGAGCTTATTATTCAAAGTATTTTAAGATCTTTTTGCATTGATTTATTTAGCTGAAGATTACCTTTTCATACCCGAAACCGAATAGAGCCAATGTATATATATATATTCCGTTCCATATGCATGACTGCCTCGATTCCAGAATCTATAAGAACTGTAGACATGAAACGTTCGTTCCGATAACTGATAACTTGCAGGCAATCGATACAAATCGATATCGAAAGGCTGTTCTTTCAGAAAATCTCTTAGATTAGCTAGAGTTGCCAAATTTGAATAGCATATACAGATCGAGTACCTTTCATATTATAGCTAATCCCCCCTAGCTAAAGGTTGAGGGTATTCCCAAGTCGGAGACTCAGAAAGGGACAATGAAGGGAATTGACAGCATTTTATGAGCATTTTTTTTTTTAGGCTATTCTCAGCTGCTGATCACTTGCCATCAAAAGTGATCGTTTTTCCCAAAACAGCGCTTCAATATTAAAAAAAATAGCTCGATTTCTAAAATACTTAGTTGCAAAATCCCTTGCTCACGATCTAATTTGAGATAACTGAATATTGATTTAACAGCTGATGCAAACATTTTGGTGCGTACTTTCTAGGTGCTTACACAGTGGACTGCTATTGATAAGTGGCTTTATTTATAGACATATTGTGCTCCGGTAACGCCGATAAGTTGTATATATATGTAAGGAATTAGGCTGTCACAAGGCAAACACGAACAGACTGTTGTATGTAATCCAATGAAATTCGTACGGTTCAATGTTTCTTGGCCTGCTGGCCGTTGCCATGCATCGAGCCGGAGATCATGTATTTGTCAAACAGATAGTCACCGACATCGGTCTGGGCGCGTTCCAATTGCCTAATGAAATCGGCCAATACCTTTTGGCCATCGACCTGCTCCTGCAGAAAGTTGGCCTCTATGAAATCACACAGATTGGGATCGTTCTCTTTGCCGGCCAAGGCGTGCACATCCAACAGATGCTGATTCACCTCCATTTCCATTTGCAGCGCATGCTTCAGGGCCGACATCGTATCCTCGAACTGTGGCACCGGCTCCGGCACACTGCTCAATATGATTGAGCCACCGCGTTTATTCATATACTTCATGATCTTCTCGGCATGCTCACGCTCCTCAATGCTGGCCTGCAGAAAGAAGCCATGGATGCCCGGCGAGCTGACATCGGCGCGATCGAAATGATAGGCCTGCAGTGCATACACATACATCACATATACAGATTGTATATATTTATATATATATATACATATACTATCCATATTTGTATCATTATATAATTATTTTGCAAAAACCAACCCTGCAGCAAACAGACAATCCATCTAATGACAACAAATTCTACTTGGTAAACTAAATGCCAGCAAAACATCTCGACTATTGAAAAACGATTAGGTATGAATATTTTTGGCACACCGACAATTTAATACCCTCGTTAACATTTCTCTTTTGCAGATATGTGAGAATTCTAAGAACCTACTCTTTAAGCGATCTTATCTATGGCAGCTCTATGATATAGTGGACCGATATTAATTTGAAGATTTTGGTGAAACTTATAAATGTCCAATTTGGTTGATGCTGATTCGGAATATATCTGCTATGATTATATATATACAGAGTATACTATATACTTTATAGATTCAGACAATATTATAATACCCTCTACAAGGGCATAAAAACTGGAATCGTTAAAGCTTCCTAGAGACAGCTCTCAGTGTACATCTAGATCAATATCTATTATATGCATATTCCTGCATCTTTACTTATATCTTTACCTATATCTACTTCTATAGTTTTTCAGATATCTCTAAATTTATATCAATATCTTGCTGTTATATCTATGTTTATATCATTCTGTATGTATATCTTACATACCTATATGTTTACCCAAGCCTCTATATCCTCATCTATATGTACACTTATAGCACATACCTATATCTTTTTATATAGCTCAATTCATATATCTGCCTTACCATGGCCAAATATTGATGGCAGGCCTTAAGTTCCATGTTGATCTGATCGTTCAGTTTATCTTCACAGCTTTTGGCAAAGTTCTGTCGCATTATCATGCACAGGCGACGTATTAGCCAAGGATTACACTTCGCCATATCGAAGCAACAAAATGTTGAGGAAAAATCAACGAGTGGATGAGACAAATGACCAAAAATTCTCTTGTATACCGAAATTTAACTAATTTATTTCAATTTTTTATATGATTTTATTTTATTTTTATTTTTTTTTTTTGTTTTTAAATTCGAACTGAAAAGTGCCTGCATAGGCAACTAGTTTGATCGAACAGTCAGTTTGTCTAAACAGCATTGATGCCCTATATATACCCTATATATTCTTAAAGGATAGTATACACAGATCAGGAGGTATCCGATCTTTGACATGTGTCTATATATCATATATTAAAGCGCTTGTTTAGCGATACAAAATGTGTTACACGCATTTATTAAGAACACATTTTTCATGAGAATAGAGGGTATCCTCTATCGGCTACCCTTACTTTTCACAAGGGTAATACCCTTGTCATGAAATAGAAGCAGACATCTCCATCTCCATAGAGTATATATATTCTGGCTCAGCCGAGTTAATATAGGCTTTGTTCTCATCTCTGTCTGTTTCTCGAAACTTTCTTGAAACTTTGCACAAGTCCGACTTTCTGTTGCAGACAGCGCATATTTTGAATCCAAACGGATCGGAGCACTATATCGTAAAGCTGCCACAGAAACGATCCGTCGATAAGTCGTTTGGGTATTAAGTTATCACGACAAAACTCAGCCATTATTAGTTTCCTTACATTACTTCATTAAAGTAACTTGACGTAACTCAAGAGCTACCAGTTCAAATCATTATTTGTCGAACAGGAAACTCTTTCCACATGGAAATACTCTATATCATATTTGAAGACTCGAAATGGAGTATTAGAAAATGCATATGCTCGCTCTAGCTCTTATTATTTACAAAAATTGCCCAAAAAACAGAATTTCGATATAGATTTTTATCGATTACTTAGAAACGGGACAAGTTATCGATTATCGAAAACAAACCCTATCTGCGCAGGCACTAGGAGGACCTAGAAGGACACACAGACGAACGGACGGACGAACATGGCTAGATCGACTCGGCTATTGATGCTGATCAAGAATATATATACTTTATGGAATCCGAGATGCTTCCTTTTGCCTGTTGCACACATTTACATTTTGCACAAATACAATTATACTCTTTTTGCCCATTTTTAATGGGTTCAGTGTATAAAAAAGATCTGTGTATTTTTCGGTTTGTTTTTATTTTTATGTGTGTGAGATAATCGGTTGTTGATGAAAGATGCTTTTGTTGAAACATGCCGGGTCAAAGGTTCAAAGTGCGCACTCAACTACACATGTGATTTCACTTTTGTTTCTCTTTCGCTTTTGGCACTTAGTCAGTGTACACACAGACACATATGTGCATATGTACCTGTTCATACCTTATGCTATATGTTTGCTTGGACAACAACAACAACAACAACATGGTGTTAAGTAAACTTGAGTTATTGTCATTTACTTGTATTAAGTGAATGGTAAACGACTTTTTTGCTCAAGTTTCTTCTCATTTTTTGTACGAACAAGTTTTAAATATTATCTTTCGCTCGTGTCAACCACTAAGTAACTTACGCACGTTAAACACAAATAATAATAATAATAAACCCACACACACACAGACAGCAGCACTGGCCCATTAAGTCGAACATGAAACGCAAATCATCGTTAAAGTCGAAAGACAAAAAATTGTTGAGCTTTAAGATTGTCTAAACAACGCACTGAACAACTTTCATGTTATACAACACTGTTTAGGAAAATGTTCGTGCCATTCCATTGTGGCAACTATTACAGTTGATTGTTTGTGAAGCATATATTAAATAAGGCATGGGAATAAAAATAAATAGAGCCGGAGCGGAAAGAGAAAGAAAAATTAGTTGGAGGAGCGCCAAAGGCGCAACTAAGTTCTGCTTTTAGCTTGAAATATTGTGACTCTTGAGGTTTTCTTGAATTTTGTTACAATTTAATAAATCGCATATCTGAAAGTAATATATATTCTAAACCTGACTTATTATTATGATATTCAACTGATTTTTGCATGAAATCTGAGCGAAATACATACAATATTTACATTAAATTAAGCAATTCAGTGAATGCCAAGAGTTGTTCCAATTCCACTTGTTCCTTTAACATGCACTGTTAACGTTTATAAAATGAAAGGTATAGCAAAAAGCCATAAGAAATACAGTCAAAGTTGACTGTTCTTAATCTTTATTAATGATATGTCGAATTAAATGCATTTAACGAACGAATAAAACCATCTGCGGCAAATAAACTAATAGATTTGAAAGATATGGCAACTTAATTGTTTATCGTATTTATTAAAAGTGCCAGAAATCTTTGCAATTAATTGCGCTTTATTGTTTCAGTCATAATTATCGTTGATTGATTTTCCAAAAACAAAATAAACGTGGCAACATTTTTATGTTTTTATCAAGTTCATGCATTTTTTTTATTACTTTTTTTCAGGTCGGTTGCTTAATTAAAACGCAAACGTTTGCATTGTTAACCAAATCAAAAAAAAAAAAAAAAAAAAAAACGGCTTACAAACAAAAAGTCAAAAATTGTATGGCGCAAAAGAATATAATGAATTACTCGAAATGTTAAGCAGACCGCAGATCAAATACCCTTCTATAGTAAATATATTTATGAAATGTTAACCCGATCTTAATAAGAAATTGGTTTAGGATATTTGTGCATGTGCATATGTGTATATGCAAACATGTTGCAGTTGAATGTGTAACACGCCGTGTTACAGCTATTTTTCGCCATTTTCCAGCTAAATGTTGGCTTTTTTCAAGGCTCAGAAACATGAAATTGTGAACTAGTTTAGCTTTTCTTCTCAATGACAAGTAAAGGCAACCCTGTTTATGCACTTGACAACACTGTTTACATGCTACATAACATATTTAATGTACTTTCTAGGAGAGCATAGAAATTTTTAATCGATTTTTGTTGGTTTTTCCAAATTGCTCGCGCCTTTAATTCAATAAATTTTGCAGCGTTCGATTTATGCCGGTAAAAGTACACACATATATATGTATATATGTCAGTACAATTGTACACATGTTCATGCATATGTATGTATGTATGTATGTATGAATGTATGTATGTGTGTTGTTATGGCATGATGCATGTATCAGCCATCGGTTATTTGCTTGGCTCTGGTTTATAAGTGAAATGCGTTTATTTATTTAAATGTAATTTATTCGCGCGCCAGTGGAATTTTTGTCGATCGCATGTTCTTTTTTTATTCTTTATTATTATTTTTTTTTTTTTTTGTTCATGATCAATTTTTGCAAGCAATGCTGAAATTGGCGCTCACTGTAATTGCCAAAAAATGTAACTCTTATCGTGTATCATAAGGGAGAGAGAGAGAGCGAGAGAGAGCGAGGTAGAAATGAATGCATTAACACTGTTAATTTAACAGCGCATTATAATTAAACCGGTTACAGTGGCTATCAAACTGTTGCATGGCGTTTGCTGCCGCTGCTGCTGCAAGCCGGGTGTTAATTGTAAAAGAAATGGGTTTTTCCAAATTTAAACTAAGCGACTGAAAAGTGGTTGCTGGCTTTTAAAAGTTGTTGATCTTGTCTTTGCCCAGTGAATGCCGCATTAACGTAGGCGGTGATAACGGCAATTGAAGCCGAAATAATGAAAAGTGACGTCTGCGCTGACGTTGTTGACGCATACACATACATTAACAATATACATACATATATGTATGTATGTGTATGTGTGTTTTCTGCCTGAAATGAGGTGGTAGGCGAAGTACGAAAGCGAATGCGATAAGCAAGAAGGTCAATAAATTGCTTGATATAATGAGCCATGCACACACACACACACACACACACACACACAAACGCTATCGCGCATATGCGCTCGCATTTACATATTTACATATATACATACATAAAACACGTGTCGATTTTCCCAACAGGAACCATTTGGGCAACAATTCGGAAAGACGCACGCTGCAAAAGGCAGGACTAGCTTAAAAGTTAATAAATATTTTATAATTGATTATTTTTAATGCCGATATTGATTTAGCATTTACATTATTTTTGTATATTACTCAAATTTCTGTGGTGGCACGAAATTTGATGTGTTAACGAGGGCGCGTCGCGTTCGTGTCACGAAAGAAAAAACGACACGCGCTCAACTCTATTTAGGACTCGAATCGGATACTTCTCAATACGCTTGCCACGCTCTGATTGGCGCGTGGACCACGTGCCGAAAAACTTTTCGATATTGCGAGCAAGAGAGAAAGAGAGCACAAGTGCAGGCGAGCCATAGAATGCAATTGAAATGGAATGTTGATTTGTTAGGACTTACCGGCTTTTTGGCCGCCAGCGGCTTATTAATCAAATTCAAATGCGGCTCAAAGTCCTGGCCAAAGCGTTCGATGAGCAAATTTTCGGCAACCTCCTGCGGGCATTCCTCCTGCTGCACCAGCTCCCAAATGTCCTGCGGTATATAACAGCTGAGCACCAGGCCCAGCAGCAGCCCGATCACAAAATAATGATTGCGACTCAACGCGGACGGTCTACGCATCTTTCAGGCGTATGGCAAATTGAAATTACATACATACATACATACACGCATATGTACATATAGGACGCTGATGCTTAATGGCGCTGTTGTCATGTGTACATCTTGTTGTTGCTGTTCGTACGCACAATTGTTGCAGCTGCTGCTGCTGCTTCCTCTTCGACTGTTGTTTCGTTTCGTTTGATTTGGTTTTCTTTTTAAATTGTTCGTTTTTGTTTTTGGCGGAAGCGATAAGCAGGCAGAGAACTCAAACAAGTGCGCTGACTGTGCCGGCTAATTTTGGCACTAGATGCGTGTTATTCTTGTTGTTGTTGTTGTTGTGCAGCACGCACTTGCGTTTCGTTGATGTTGTTGTTGTTGTTGGGTTTTGTACTGTTGTAGCTGTTGTTTGCATTTGGCGCATTTTTAAAACAAATTCACAGTTATATAGACAATCATTGCACTTACACCACACTGCACACATTTATTCGCATCGAGACGTTAATGCTACGAAATGCTTTAAAAAAAAAAGATGTTGAACAAGCGCAAACAAGCGCCGCCTGGCCGCCGCACACCGCGTAACGTAAAAAAATGGGATCTTTTTATCTTCATTTCGTTTTGCACACTTAGCAGCGGCTGCTTCTGTTAGCTCACTGTTACGATTACCTGTTAGCTGTATGTTATAAGCTAGTATGCTGCACACAGATCATCCAAGCTAGGCAAATTTTGTTTAAACATTTTACAGTTGAAAACTTATAAAATAGAAAAAAAGTTAAAACTAGTGAATAAAATATTTTTAGATCAACGTGCTAATAAAAAATTGAAAATATCACATATAATATTACACACAGAAACTATGCTGTAGCACAATACAAGATCATGCACTCTCTGTTAATGCGCGCGCAATGTGCTGCTCAGCGTACTGGCCAAAGACTGACAGCCATCTGCTAACAGTATGTTACTTGTAACAGAGCGCTCATTTCTGCGTTAACATTACTGTTGGCATCTTGCGCAACTGTTAGCTCACTTTGGCGTCGCTGATATTGCGTTTGCGTTGTTGACATTGCCGGGTGGGTCGCACATTTGTCAAAAATTTGATAAACAGGCCGACATGGCTGTGGTTGTGCTGGACAATGGTGCGTACACAGCCAAAGTGGGACTCGCAACGCAGGATGAGCCGCAGGTGATCCCCAATTGCATAATGAAGGCAAAAAGCGAGAGACGCCGCGCTTTTGTGGGCAATCAAATCGAAGAATGCCGCGATACATCGGCATTATTTTACATCCTGGCCTTTCAACGTGGTTATCTGCTGAACTGGGACACTCAAAAAACGGTCTGGGATTATATATTCAGCAAGGAGGGCATCGGCTGTACACTGGAGAATCGCAATATTGTCATTACCGAACCGCAAATGAACTTCCACAGCGTACAGGAGGCAATGCTCGAGATGCTCTTCGAGGAGTATCGCGTGGCGGGCATGTACAAGGCGACGGCCGCCGATCTGGCTGCATTCAATTATGTGGCGGACAGCGAGGAGCGCACCACAATGCAAACCCTCAACTGCATCATTATCGATGTCGGCTACAGTTTTACGCATATTGTGCCGTTTGTGCTGGGCCGGCGTGTCCTGGAAGCCATCCGGCGCATTGATGTGGGCGGCAAAGCGTTAACGAATCATCTCAAGGAGCTCATCTCCTATCGTCATCTAAACGTCATGGATGAGAGCCATGTGGTGAATCAAATCAAGGAGGACGTTTGCTTTGTGGCCGAAGACTTTAAGGATGCGATGAGCGTGCATCATAGCGAGAAACGTCGAAAGGAAATCGCCGTGGAATATGTCCTGCCCGACTTTACGACAGTCAAGCGTGGCTATATACGTGTGCCCGGCCAGCCACGCGAGGATGAGGAACAACAGCAAATGGTGCCGCTTTGCAATGAACGTTTCACTGTACCGGAGGTGCTCTTCAATCCATCGGACATCGGTATTCAGCAGGTGGGCATACCGGAGGCTGTTGCCGATGCCCTGCAAGCGTGTCCCTGGGAGGCGCATCGCGAACTCTTGCTCAACATTCTCATTGTTGGCGGCAGTTCACAGTTTCCCGGCTTCCTGCCGCGCCTCAAGCGCGATCTGCGCGCCCTGGTCCCAGATGATTTGGAGGTATCGCTCATCTGTCCCGAGGATCCAGTCCGTTATGCCTGGTACGGCGGCCGGGAAGTGGCCACCAGTCCCAACTTTGATGAGTTCATCTATACGCGAGATGATTACGAAGAGTTTGGCATACACGGCCTGCCGCAGCGCTAAAAATTATGCATATTATGCCCATTGATTAGGTTTATAAATTATTTCATATAGCTAATTTTTTTTTTTTTGTGTCGTGCGTCCGTGCGTGCGTGTGTATGCGAGTGTGCCTGTGGTTGTGTGTTTGCCGCCATTAAATAAGCCATGAATGTCGCATGTAGATCCTTATATGCCGCATTTCATGTATTACATGGAAACTCTGATTTGTTTTTATTATATTTGGGTAGCTGGCAATGAACGCAGATTGTTTTGCAATCGGACTTCTGTGCATTGGCCTGCCTTTCAGCTAATCCCAATGGGATAGATGGAGCCCCAGCTCTTGGGCTTGGAATGAGCTTAAGCATCGAAAGCTATTGCATCCGCCCAGCCACAAACATTCCCTCCGTTCGCCTAGATTAATTTTATTTAGTCAGGATCTCCGGTAGAGTGTATGCCCAGCATGAGATGAAACCCTCCTGTTCCAGGTAGTCCATATTCCTGTTGAAAACAGAGTTTATATACTGAAAACTATGCAAAACAAATAAGCATGTTTATAGAAATGAATCGTACCATTATGTATTACAGCTTCTAAAGCAACGATTGGTTTGCTCTTCAATCTGGTCCAACTCGAGCTGCTCGATCCCACTATTATCGCTCAATATTATCGAGCGATAAAGAGTGACAAGTTGTTAAATGTGTGAAATAAGAATAGATTTGTTAGTAAACAATTATCGTTTCGTATTCTATTTGTTTATAATTTGAACTACATACATGCTAATGTACATACGTATAATTGTTATTTGAAGGATAACCTAAGAACAGTGTCAATTGGGCTCATTTGCCGCGCGCTTATGATTAATATGTAACTATAGAAAACAATCTTATGCATATTTTCATAATATACTTTCTTTCGTTTTTGCTGTGGAGCACCTTAATGTGGTAGATTCTAGAAACGTATCGAGACAATTGAGTAGATGCTTTCGCAACGAGCGTTAGCAAAATAACAATTGAATTTGTAATGAAATATACATAACACAAGCTGTAATATCTCTAAATAAACTTAGATAATTTAGGTTTTTGCGAGGCGGGTCCGATTCTGTAGAGAGAGCATGCCGCTTGGCCACCCCTCCCTCCCCCTTCTCCATCACAAACGCATTACATGCTGAAGGATTCGCCGCAACCACAGGTGCCCTTTATATTCGGATTGTTAAACACAAATTCGCTGGTCAATTTGGATTCCACAAAGTCCATTTCGGTGCCTATTGTTCGAATGAACAAAAACAAAACAAGATAAAACGTTTGATTATATGACGAGGCATTATATAATGCATAATGCGGCATCTGACATTACCTAGCAAAGACAGTTGCGCCTTCTTATCAATAAAGACCTTGACGCCATCCTGCACTACCTCCTCATCCAGTTTATCTGACCATGCAAAATATCAATAACAATACTCAAATAGATATATATATATACATATATATTTATATAGACGCACCTTTGGTGCTGGCATAGTCCAGTGTATAGGAGAGTCCGTTGCAGCCGCGCTGGCGCACACCGACCTTGAGACCGATCTGTGGAGACAAATTCAACTATATAGAACCTTGACGTTAATACGCAGCCAGGCGACCTACCACCTCTGGTTTATCCTGGAGCAGCGACTTGATGCGTTGCACCGCAGCGGGCGTCTAAAAGGAATAGAAGAGGCTTAATAACAATATTGATAAGGGAGCTGCAATGCTGCCCGTTTGGCTGTTACTTCATCAGAGAAACGTCTGTCATGTGTGCATATTTCATCAGAGAGGTTTGTGGCACTTACCAGCGTTAGTGCGGCCCGCGTTGCTATTAATTTTCGTCCCGTGACAGCGCGTACCGTTGCTGTTGCCACAACACGTGTTGCCATTTTTTTTATTGTTCAAGATTTATATAATTTGTTTTGCTAACAATTTCAACAATTTCTGTGCTGTTCGAAAAGTGTTACTAAACACTAACAATCTGTTCGTGTGTTAGGCGTTCCAGAGTTGACTAACAGCGTGCAGGTTATCGGACAATACGATACACGGTTATCGGTCGTATTTCGTCACAAATTTTAAAATTACGCTTTTTTATATGGCAAATTATTAAATTGAAGACTTTTTTAGAACACGATCAAAAATAAAATTGTTTTCGAGCAAGCTATTTTAAATTTATCACGTTTCTATGCCATTTACGTATTTAATTTATATATATATATATATTATATAAATAATAGAAAAAAGTTTATGGCACATTTCTATGGTAATGCTTGGCGAAATCTTCTAAAATCTCTGAGCACTGAAATCATCGATCAGTGCTCACTAACGCACCATTTTATCGATATATTTAGCGTAATATTGTCCGTTTCATATTAATTGTTTATACAATCATAAGCAAAATGAGCGCCTTGAAATTCATGTACAAACTATATGGCAGACGCACCATAGCTCCCGTCACACGCGCCCTATACCAAGCACACAATCATGGCCAGCGTCAATACCATTTGCTGGCCATATCAGCATTGCCAAACAACAAATACACGTGCCTGCAGCGCGCAACCTTCAGCGACAAGCTCGAAGCGGTAACGGTAAGTGGCAGTGGGTGCAAAAGGTGAATAACATTTTAATCTACATACTATCAATTGCAGCAAGATGAAAGCCATCGGGTGGCCAGCAAGAGCATACCCTTGGCGGAGCTGCAGACCAAAATGCAGCTCATCTATACGTGCAAGGTGTGCCAGAGCAGGAACATGGAGACCATATCGAAGGTGGCCTACAACCGGGGCGTTGTTATTGTCACATGCAAAGGCTGTGCCAATCATCATCTAATTGCCGACAATTTAAATTGGTTCACGGATCTCAATGGCAAGCGCAACATTGAGGAAATATTGGCCGAAAAGGGGGAACAAGTTGTGAAAATTGTCAGTGATAAACATGAATATTTGTCAAGCAATTAAAACCCATGTTATTAGCTATAAACGTAGGCCACTTTATTGAGCAGTTCCCGCAGCCGACCAAGCTGCGGCAGCGTCTGTAGCTCGCCATAGAACTGACTGCGACACGGCGATTTGGTTGTGAGCAGCAAATGTGTCAAATAGAGCATCTCGTCCAGCGACAGCGCTGACATGGGCGCGTCACCTGTGCACTGCACGTCATCCAAGCGCAGATGCGGCAACTGCTGCTGCCAATAGCCATACAAATAGCTGCCCAAGGCGCCAGCGAAGCGGGCATGCATTAGCCAGCAGAACAGGCGCGAAACATTGGAGCTGCTGCCGTTGGCAACGAAGTGGTATATGTTTTGCACAAAGCAAGCGCTTGCCGGGCATGCTGTGCCCTCCGCTAGCATATCACAGATCATTTGGCGCAGCACATAGCAGCGTGTATGCAAAATGCTCTCCTTGGGCTCCCGAAACAGCTGCAGCCACAGTTCGCAGCTGATGAGCCGCATGGCGCGTTTGAGAGCAATTTTGATGTCGTCCACTGTGGTCAGGCGAAAGATGCGTCGCACCAATTGACGCATTTGCAGCACATTGACATTCATTTCGACTGCTGCTGCTGCTGTTGCCGCGTCCAGCGTACTGTTGGCTTTCTTCTGTGCCATGGCTGACCAATCCAGATCCTTGATGATGCCCCAAGCGGGCTGCACTTCGGCATACGTCTTGTGCATGTGGTACAAAAGTGGCGCATGCGCATGACCGTTGTGCGTGCCGTTAACAATGTTGATGCACAGCTCCTTGATGCACTGTTCCCGATCCGTTTCACACTTGTCGTAGTAGCCTCTAATGGCGGCATGCGCCTGGGGGCACTGCAGCAGAACAGCTTCCACAAGCTCATCCCCATACCGTGCATGACACTCATGCAGGTACAACGTGGCCTTGAACATGCACTCGATATCCGTGTGGGTCAGTTCAAGATACTTTGGCTGCCCCAATTGCATCTGATCTTGGCAATCCAGCAGCCAAGCGAGCAGCTTGGCGGAATGTGTCGCAGCTTGATCCAGCGTTAAGTCGTTGTCTACACTCAGCTCATTTCGTATGTACGCATCCATCGTTGCCTTATTTCCAGCTACTTTGGTTCTCCAATTTAATAGTATTTACATGTTATTTCATATTTTGTGCTGTACCCTGTTTAATATTATTTTTGATAAATACATTTGAATGAAATGTTATCGATAAACAGGCTCTGTTAACGAGCAGCTCTGTTATCTGAATGAGTCTGCGCAGAGCTGCCACTAGATAAGGCGGGCTCTTAACCATAAACAGTTGGGCAGCACTGGCTTTTGAATTCGAACATTTTTCAACCCGACCGAAGTGTGCAAACGGTTTGTATGCTCTTTAGTTTTATTTTAATGTATGTATATATATATATCATCTTAGATGAGCAAACTTTGTGACGATATCATATATATATATATATATATATATATATATATGTATATACATATATAAACATGTATATAGACAAATATATATATATATATATATAAGTATATCTATATATCGTCAATGGGTTTATTCATCTCTCGCCCTCTCTTTCTCTTTTACTAAAGTTACATTTACTCATTAAAAAGATAAACATAAAATGCATAACATAGACTTATAGTTATATCAAATACCTATGCCTTCATTTCTTCCTTTCCTTTTTTTCTCGCGCATTTTAGTTATTTTTTTTTTTTGTTTTTAAATATTTATATAAACAAGAATCAAAGCGTAATCCGCATATTTTGCGTTTGCTTTGTTTCACACATATCCATGTGGGGATATGCTCGACTTAAGTAAATAAAAATATATTAGTTATTTTTTCGTGTTATTATTACTTTTTCAAAAATAGGGTCGCAAAAAAAATTATAAAATTAAGAAAACAGCTTTGAATATATTGATGTTGACTGATATACTTCTTTTTTTCCCCCATATGATAAATGATGTTATTCTTTGTGTGCTCTTTGCATGGTTGTTCTTTCTTTTTTTTTATCTTCTTGTTTTTACTGTTAATCTTCGGTTTTTCCTTCCTCTTTTTGAAAATTTATGAAAATATATATATATGTAAATATATATATATACATATATATGCATGTATATATATATATAGATATATATGTATTGTATATAATATACGCGCGAAAATTAATAATTAATTCAACATGTTTTCTTTATATATACTATATAACTATATGTACTATATGTATATGTTGTTGTCGCTGTTGTTGCTATCGCACATTTGCTGTGGCTGTTCTAATTATTTTTCTTCGCTGTTTTTTTTGTAGGAATTCTTGAAATTGTGTGGTGTGGTGTGGTGTGGTGTGGTGTGGTGTGTGTATGTGTGTGTGTCTTTGTGTGTGTTGCTGTAGCTGTTGGTTATTCTTATTTTAGTTGTTGTTATTGTTGTTGTTTTTGTTGGGTGTGATCGGACGGCACAGCTTAGGCAAAGCCAAAGCCCTCGGAGCACTCGTGTATGGCCTTGAGCAAACAACTGCGCAACTTATCATACGACTTGTACATGGGCAGATCCAGTTGATTAAAGCTGCAGATAAAGTATGCGGGATTTAGTTAATATACAAATTGAATGTTTTAAATTGAAGCTAAGCAATTACCAGGTATGTGCGCAAGGCAAACGATCCGTGGAACGATCATCGCGATGTATTTGGAACTTTTGTATGCCATTCATGCCCTCCAGGGAGCCGAAGCCCTGCAACGGTACCTTTGAGGTGCCAGTGACAAACTGTAGGAATTTAGCACGATCCGCCTGATCGAAGCTGCGCAACGCGCGCCAAAACCATTGAATCTGCAAAAAGCACAATATTATCATATATATTATAAATGAAAATAGTTAATCTATTAATTAGTTATATAGACACGCACCTGTGCCGATTTTGATGTGTACTTGTGGTACTCGGTGTTTGCCTTTAGATCTTCAATATCAATATCCGGCAAGCCGGATATGAGAAGCTCTAATTCCTGTTCGTTAAATATGGATATTAAATGCTTTGGAATTATATCATAGAAGCCTTCAAGGAATGCGTCCAATCTGCAATAGTTAGCATTATGAAAGCAATTAGTTACAATTATATGTTTTCTATATATATAAAATTTAATTGATTCCACTACTCACTGCTGACGTATGGAGCCGCTCATCTTAAGCTGGCAAACAAGTTGAACATATTCAAATTTATTCTCCTCGGTGACGGCAATGTCGCGCCCATTTGGCTTGAGATCACGGATTTGTGTGACGCCAAACTCTTGCACCTCGGTGGAAAAGGTTAACTCATAGCCAAGCGTCGATATATCATTTTTCATAAGATAGTCCAGGCCCTTATAGAATTCATAATCCTGCGATTCCATATCAGTATGCTTCACCTGTTTGCCCAGGATGTGTTTATAAAATGAGCGTGTAAAATAGCACTCCAGCAGCTTATTATCATGCACGGCCTTGGCTATAATAGAGAGTCGAAACAAGTTAGAATTTGTGGGACCTTCGATTTGGAACTGTTTGGCACTTACCAATGACTCGACCGACAAACTTGAAGTAGCTCAGATGATTGGGATTTGCATGACTCGATGGATTTATCATATAGGTGACGCGATCGCCCGGCGATACGCAGAACAAGGCATACATGGGATTAAAGATTTCGCGCGATATTATCACATACCATTCACGTAGCAGGCCGCCAGCATCCTGGCCTTCCTCATCTAAAAGCAATACAAAATATAAACAATTATTTTCCATAACATTGGAAATCATATTTGATTCGAGTGTGCACTCACCCTCAAATACAATGTAGAAGCGATTCTTCCATTCCTCAGGACCGAGACGATAGAGGACACGGAATGAATCCTCAAAGACGGTAATACGTCGCACACTAACAGTATGTTCCTCACGGCGTATACCTTCGTCAAGGCGCTCCAATTCGGTCTGGAAGTATTTGCGCTTGACATCAAAGTCCAGGATGCGTGTATGATCCACCAAGACGGCGAATGGGCCATCGGATAGATGTGTGGCCGACTGACGTAGAATTTGATTAAGCACTGTGCGATGCTTCTCGGCGAATTGTAGAAACTTTTGGCGATCCTGTTTAAGTTGGGCCTCGTGTGCGGTTAGCGCCACCTGCTGACCAGCAGCGCCTGTGGAACCATCCTGCAAGCGGGATTCATCTGCAAAACAAAAGGGCCAATAAAGAATTTTGTATAACAATTCAATTTCGTTCTATGCCAAACATTTCTGTACGCACCCTCAAAACTGGCTGAATTTTGTGCTTGGCTGCTGTTGCTGCTGCTATTGGTATCATCCAGTTGTGGACTAATCTCGGATGCCACTGGATGGGGCACAACGCGCAAACCAGAGCCAACAGTTGCACTACCGGCGGCACCACGTCCAGGCTTTTTCGGTGTTACCCGATGTGAGGCGTGTATGAGGAAGAAGGCCTCAACGGTCGGTTGTAGAACCAGTACAGCAAACTCATCCTTGGACTCCTCCAGGGCCACCAGGCACTCGCTCAACGTGTGCCACAGCACATCCAGGCATAGTATTTGACTAAGCGTTGGCTTAGCAGCGCTCTTTGAGCCGCCACTACCGCTACCGCCAGCGCTAGTGCTCGAGCTACTATTGACATTTGATGCGGCGTCGTTAGTATCCATGCTGCTGACACCGGAAGCAGATGCGCTGCCTCCAACCGTTGAGCCCGCATCGCCAATAATATCAATGATGTCCTCGTTGTTGTCATCATTTTGACTATTCTGCAGCTCGTACATTTCACGCACCTGCATGAAGATCTTAAGGGTGCGCAGGAAATAAGGCTGTGCCGATGAATTGGACATTAGCTTCTTCATCGAGGGCAATTGCAGTTCACAGGTGGGCTTAGCATTCTTTGGGGCCGATATGATGACCGATTCAGATGTGAACCGATCCTGCATAGTGCCCTCATGGACGGTTAAATTGGATAGCAAAGCGGCGCCACCGCTGCTGCTGCTGTTGCTGCTGTTGTTGTTATTGTTATTGTTGTTGTTGATGTTGTTGATGTTATTGCTGCTGCTGGCGCTGGCGCTGCCGCTGCTGCTGGGCTTATTGTCCGGCTGTTGCGGCTTTGGCTGCGGCTGCTGTTGGCCAAGCGTATTGTAGGCGCGAATCTCGTTGAGCAGCGTCTGTATGGCCTGACGCACCTCCTCGGCCAGGCCGAGTATGGCTGCCGTCAAGTACTGTATGAATATGGCATTCGATGCCTGCGAGCACTGTGTGAGATTCACAATCAGTTTGGTAACATTGTCCAGTCCCTCGGTGGTGCCGCACTGATGTGTCAGCACCTCGATAACTAACTGCAATTGGGAGAAGTTCTTGGCATAGATTTTGCGACGTGGCTTATTTGATTGCGATGGTGTTGATGCTGTTGGCTTTGGCACTGTTCCGCCGCCTACTGCACCCGAATGCGTTAGCTCATCATCCTCATCGTCTTCATCATCCTCCTCCTCGTCGTCATCGTCATCCTCGTCGTCTTCATCATCCTCCTCCTCCTCATCGTCGTCAAAATCATGATGACGACCTGCCGCCAACAGCTGTCGTGGCCGCTGCGTAGCTGTTCTGCTGGCATTTGCTGCCAACTCTGCACTCGCTTCGTCACGCATCTCTTCATGGAATTGACTAAGAGGCGCTAGTGGCGGCAACAGGCTATCCTCTTGCTGTTGCGTTGACATTGGCTCATCCTGTTGTTGTGGTTGTTGTTGCGGCTGTGTTGGCATTTGCTCATCCTGCTGTGGCAACGGCTGCTGCTGCTGCTGTTGTTGTGGTGGTGGTGGTTGTTGTTGTTGTGGTTGCTGCTGCTGCTGCTGTTGTTGTTGCTGTTGTTGCTGTTGTTGCTGCTGTTGCTGCTCCTCCTCTTTGGGCAAATCAACGCTCAGCGAGGCCAACAGTTTGACCAGCATATCAGTTAAATGCGGAGAACGGCAGATAACCTTGTACGGCAACATCTCGAGCAGCTGGCCAAATGGCGAATCGGTGAAGGATAAAAATTCGCTATTATTGGTCTGCCATTTCCAGGCCGGCTGTGAGGTTAATGGAAACTGTGCCACATTGGCCAAACGCAGCGGAGTCTGACGATCAATATTTAGCACCACATCCCAAAAGTTGTGCGCATTCGTTTGATAGGCAACGGTGGTGCCATCAATGCTGTTGTTGTTATTATTGTTGTTGTTGTTACTGTTCGGCTTGACGGCGCTGGCAGCTGCCTTGGCAGCAGCCGCTTTCGATGTGGATGGCGCCTCGTCCAATGGCTGCGCCTTGGGCGTCTGCAGTTGCAACTGTTGCTGCTGTTGCTGTTCATCCAAAATGCCGCGCAGCCGATTGGCCATTTGATAGCGATGATATCGTGAACGCAAATCTCCGCCAACGCCACCACCGCCACCGGCTGCACCACCACTTGCACCACCGGCGGCAGCAGCAGCAGCAGCTGCAGCGGCATTGCCAGCTGCCACCAGACTGGCTACGGCTGCCGGATCATCGAGACGGGCCGAGGCGCTCGCATTGGGCATGCCAAAGACGGCGCTGAGCATGCGTGCGCGTGCTTTTGGCTCACGATTATAGGGCAAGAAGCTGAATGGATAATGCTTGGCCAGGACGAAGAGCAAATCAAGACAATTGCGCACTATCATTTGCGCTGCCTGCGGATTGATGCTAATGCTGCGTGCGCTGCCCTCGTACATCCGATTGATTAGGAATATGTTGCTCTTATAGCCAAAGGCGGCATCGACACGCAGCTTAAGCCATTCGGGTTTGCTGCCCGAATTGGCCGCACCAAAGTTTGAATTATCCTCGTTTGTCTTCTGTATGATGCTGATCAGGGCCTTAATTATCCAGTCGCGCGTTGGCTCATGATGGCATAGATTGCGTATAACGCGATGCAAACGCACGCTGTTCACCTTTTGATCCTCAACAAACAGGAACAGCAAAAGCGTTGCCAGCGAATCCGGATCCAGCAGTATATTCTCATCCTCCATCATGAGCAGAGCGAGCGGCTTTCCAGTGCTCGGCGCAATATGATGATGATGCACAATTGTCGTGTGCTGATGATGTTGCGGCTGCGCATTGCCGCTGGCATCGTACCAAATGGCGCTATGCCAGCGCGCCTCATCCAGATTCTGCAGTGTTGACTGGAAGCGGGCTGTCAAACAAGTCGAGGAATTTTCTATTAGAAAATGGTCAACAAAAAAAACAGCAAGTGCATCGGTCGGTTGTGTCCGACTCGAAGATAACCGGTTACAATCTACGCTCCAACTGAGCTTATTTCCAAACTAAGGAACGGTTCCGATATATGTACTGACTGGGGCAGAAAGAAATACCTAAGACACGAAGATGAGGACTTGGCTATTGATGCTAATCTAGAGCACATGTGTTCTTTAGGGGTTCGGAAATGTCTCCTTCTATGCGCTACACATATCATGGTAAAATTAATAGTATCCCCCAAAAGGGTGGGAAAAGACTCACAGAGTGCATTGCTGGGTGGATGGGCATCCATGCGGGCGCCGTTGCGTGATTCCCAGTCGCGACGCAAGAACTGCGCCTCGGCAGCCAGTTCCGGTGGCAGGCTGGCTATCTGTGACTCCTCCATGTCGGTTAGTATCTGTGTTTTGCAAGCATAATTGGATTTAACAAAAGGATCATATGAGAGGGCATTATTGGGGCACATGTACTCACAGCTTGACGCAAATTTTCGGGCAGATTCTGAAAGAATGCGGCGGTATCGACAGGATCATCGGGATTGGCGCTCTGCGCCGCCTGACGTTGCTGTTCGATGCGCTGTTGCATTAGCACCTCCGACTGTATATTGGGCGGCAGTGCGGCCAGAAATTCGGGATTAACCTCGACCAGGGAATCGTGCGCTATTTGTATGGCATTCTGCTGGGCACGCTGGCGTATGCGCTGCATTCGCAAATGCTCCTGTATAACCTCCTCGCGCATCTCGCTGGGTAAGGCGGCCAGGAATGAGGGATCAACGCCCTCTGGCACCTCTAGGTCTCCCAATGCGGCGCGCACCTCGGGACTCATGTCTGTGACAACGGCACTGGCTGCTGCATTGCTAGAGCCTCCTGTTGCGCCGCCTGCTCCAGCTGCTGGTGCAGCGTCACTAGCAGTAGTAGTAGTAGCAGCAGCAGCAGCAGCAGCAGCAGCAGGAGCAGGAGCAGCAGAAGCAGATGCAGAAACAGGATCAGCAGCAGCAGCTGTAGCAGTATTTTCTATGTTATTAGCCTCCGCATCGTTGGCAGGCGATTCTTCGGCGGCACCGAAATCCAGGCCGGAACTAGAATCGGTTTCGGGTACCGGGTCATGGGGACGCACCTCTAAATCCAATTCAGGCGGCTCCATATCGGGCAAATCTGGCAATGGATCTGCCTCAACGGCCGCCACCACAGCTGCGGCCACAGCGGATAGAGTAGCGCGATTTAGCTGATGATAGGGTTCAGGTACAGTGCTCAAGATTTCCCGGGCCTCGTCGTGCTGGTCATTGGCCATAAGCTGAGCGGCCAGCTCGGATATGGATACCGCTGGCGGGGCCGGTGCAAAGAGAGTGGTTGGATCTGTAACACCAGAAAAATCTGGCACCAAGTCCTGCTCCGAGTCTGACTCCTCCGGCTGCTGCTCCTCCTCTTCCTCTTGATCATTCGATGGCAACTGTGTCTGCTGTTGCTCCTCCTGCTGTTCTGGCGGCGGCGGCGGTGGAGGATCGGTAAAATTCAGCGTGCCTGGCACCACATCCAGCGTTGGCGGCAGCGGGAAATTCATATCAGCGCTAGGCATGCGTACTGGCGAATCATGCCATTGCTCATCATTGGGGACAGTATCACCGGAATTACTGCGTCCGGCCTGTATCGATATACGTTGCAGACGGGCGGCGGGTAAATCGCGATTGGGCAGCGATTGTCGTGCATTCAACGGGCCAGCGCCGGCGGTGCGCGATGAGTTCGCGTTTGCATTGGCATTGTTGTTGCGGCGCGTCGAGTTCTGGCGTGGCTCGTTCATCTGCAAAATAGAATATTAAATCAATCAGCCAATTATTAATCAATTTAGAACAAATTATAAGAGATAGGGGCATGGGAGGGTGGGGGAGTAAACACCCCGCTTAAACTAGACTTTCTTGGCTACATCGACTTTTCATTCGATTAGCCACTGCATTTATAATACGCCAAAGGCAATCTTTGAACTCACCCCAAACTCCAGGATTTCAGCTACTTCGGCGCGTGTACGTGTACGCGATGGTCGCCCGCTGGTGGGCAGATGGGCAGAATTTGTTGGATGACGTGGCGGATGCGATGGTGGTATAGCACTGCCAGCTGCATTCGTCGGACCCTGGGCACTGGGGAACAGTTGCGGCGGCGCTTGCTGTTGCGGCTGCGAATGTTGCGATGGCCGTGGCGGCATATCGTTAATGCCCGACGCACCGCCAGCACCAGCCGACTCCTGCTCATTGGTCAAATCAATTTCAGCATAGATATTATAGAGCGCCTGATGGCGCGAGGCATTGTTGCGATGACGTGGACGTCGTGCTTCACCACCTGTTAAAGGGGCCAAAAAGAAGCACGTTTAATATTTAATCATTTTGGGAGCGTAAAGAGTAGAGAATAGGCGCATGCCCCACTTACCAGCAGCTGTATTGTTGCTGCTGCTGCTGCTGCTGGTGTTGTTGCTGGTATTGTTGCTGCTGCTGGTGGTGCCCGTCAGTGTTGGCTGAATTGTGGTGCTGGCGGTTACAATGCTGCCGCCATATGGAGTCGTTGCTGTGGTCACCGTTGCCAGAGATGCGGCATTCACGAACTGCATCGATGGAATCAGTCGAGGTATCGAACTTCGGAAATTGTTGGTTGCCGCCGATGTTGTTGTTGTTGTTGTTGTTGCCGTTGTTGTTGCTGTTGCCGTGCCCGGCGGTGGTGGTGGCGGCGCTATCGCGCCTAAGCTGCTGCCGCTATTGTTGCTGCTGTTGGTTGTGGTTGTCGAAGCGGAATTCGATAGCCAACTATTGACATTGTTCACGCCCGTTGTGACACTGGTACTTCCACTTCCACTTGCACTGGCATTCGCGTTCGCATTTGGATTCGCAGCTGTCGCAGCAGCGCCTGGCTCAGTCGGCGCCGCGGCTGCGGCAGTGGTGGCAGCACCAGCACCGGCACCGGCACCGGCACCGGCACCAGCACTTGTTCCAGCTGCAGCTGCTGCTGCTGAAGCGGCAGCTCCAGCACCAGAATTGGAGGCGCCAGCTATGGCAGCAGCAGTAGCTGCTGCTGACGCCTGACGATTGGCCTCCTCCTGTTTGCGCTGCTGATGAGCCAATTTCAGTTCTTTGATCAAATGCGGCAGCAGGAAATGTGCCGCATAGAGGCATGCATCGGTTTGACTTTCCATGTCCAGGGCTTTGGCTTCCTCCAGCCACCAATGGAGCGCTGGCAAAGGGCAACAAGCATACAGAAACAAAGAGAGATTTAAATTTAATAGATGTTTACATTGACTAAAACCTAGATAAATATGAAAACTAGTTATAATTCTCAAGTGGTTCAAGTACGTTTCGCCTAGTGAATCAAGAGTTAACCACAAAGCTAACAACCAATTTGAGGTAAACTTCAATTTGATTTTGCTATCAAACATTGATCGATGATGTCATCATTGTACTCACCGTCCTGGGTAAACATCTCCATTTGCGTCTCCTCGGTCGGATTCTGATGGGTTGGCATGCACACACAGTACTGCTGATCCAGATAGAGGAGTCGCCGGCGCACACCATTGTTGCACAGCGAGGAATTATTATTGGGATGACTGGCGGCTGTGGTGGAGGCACCGCCAGCGCTGGCAGCGCCACTATTGCCAGTGCCGATGGCAGCAGCTGGTGGCTGTTCGTCGAGCAGATTGCTCATATTCTGATTATTGGTAGCTCCACCGCCGGCATTGCGTTCCATTTGAACCATGGCGGGCGGCAGAAATGCATTCACATTGACGTCAGCCGCATTGGCATCGGCTCCGCTTCTGCCAATGAAATTGAAGTCTGGTGCCATCCATGAATCGGAAGAGGAACGCAATGCGGCTGCCACAGAATTGGCAGCCGAATTGTTGCGTCCACCACCGGCGGCAGCTGCAGCTGACGAGGACGAGGCACTGCCATTGACATCAATATCCAGCGGTAGGGCAATCGAGCTATTCATGCGCACCCGGAAATTGGACGGCGGCTGGGGCATCAAATGTCCATGACTGCCATGACCGCCGCTGTCACCGCCCAGACGCTCATACAAATAGGCATTGGCATCGCGGCCCGAGTCATCCATGCGATTGTCGTTATTGCCGGCACCGCTGCCGCCGTTGGGCTCAATGGCGGCACTGCGACGTGGTCGATTATTGGAATTGGCGGCTGCCGAGGTGCTTGTGCTGTTGCCGGTGCCATTCACTTGGGCGAGCACTTCGTCGATTAGAGCAGCATCGTCAGCGTTGCGAGCACGTGTATCCTCATCATCCTCGTCGTCGTCATCGTCATCCTCATCTTCATCCTCATCATCATCCTCGGCATCGACATCGGCATCGTTGGATGCCGTTTCTGAGGACTCTGGCTCATAGATATGATCAAATACTTCAATAAATTGACGCGGACGCTCTTCATCCACATCGGTTTCGCTATGCTCGTCCACATCCTCGTCGGCGGCCTCATCATCATCATCATCGTCCTCCTCCTCAGCGTTGCGTTCATCATTCTCCGTAGATGCCTCCGAATCTGAATCACTTGTGCTCACATCACCCAACAGGGAGGCATTCATATCGCGTGCAGTGCGTGGACCACGTCCAACACCACTACCGCCGCCGCCGCCGCCTCCGCCGCCACCACCGCCACCGCCACCACTGCTGCCACCGTTGCCATTACCGCCACCGGTATCTGATGATGTGGAGGCACCATCGCTGCCGCCACCGCCACCACTGCCGCCGCCGTTGCCGCTCAAACCATTGTCATTGACGGCACTTGCGGTGGCATTGCCAGCCGAATTGTTGCTGCTGCTGTTGTTGCCGCCGCCGCCGCCGCCGCCCACATCGATATCCGAGTTGTTGCGCAAACGTGGATCACCAATGTTACCAACGGCCGTGCTGGATGGGGAGCTGCCAATGACGCCGCCAAGGGCTTGTCCCGTACCACTGGCATTACTGCCATTCTGCTGAGCTGTGGCAGGACCGATAGCACCATTGGCATTGCCATTTCCGGCACTGTTTTGGCCGCGCGAGGCCAAAAATAGACCCTCGCATTGCAGGAAATCATCCCAGAGCTGATCGAAATTAAGCACCGGACGCACAGCGCTGCCTGGTGCAGCGGGTGGTGCCGGTTCAGCGGCCTCGGTGCCATTGCTGCGCTCATCGACCACATCGATGGCGGCTGCATTGTGATTACCAATGATGCCCGGTCCGCTGTTGCCAGCGCCCGAGCCAGACGAAGCCTGCGGTGCTGAATCCTCTGAGTCCACAGCCATCTCATCCGAATTGAATATAAACTCAAATGCATGACGACGATCCGACAGCACATTGCGTATAATATCCCGCAGCACATGCTCGCCACCGCCCATGGCATTCGAGCGATCCACCGCGGCGCTGACAGCGGTGCGTGCAGCCAGACGGGGATACAGGCGACGATTTATAATGGCGCTAACCGTATTGCCACCGCTCAGGCCGTTGGCATTGCTGTTGCCATTGTTGGCACCGTTGGCGGCCGAACTGGCACCGCCAAAGAGTATGCGCTTCGAGCCGAGCGTTGTTGTGGCCACATTGAAGCGCAATAGAATCTCCATGGGACGCAGTATGGCGCCGAGGGTGCTCAGTGTGTTATGATTGGACAAATCCTTATATTGGGCCACCTTTGTCAGATAGGTCATGACACCCTGACGCAACAGCACACGGTACATGGTATTCCGATGCATATGTACCTTATCGTACAGCATGGGCGATTCAATCAGATTGGGGAACAGGCTCATTAACACCTGAAGACGTGTATGCTTTTCCGCCGAGTCCGGTTGTGCCAGTGCACGTGCCACGGCCGCATGCAGCTCCTCGGCCACCTGTTGCTGAACGCCCGTCTGCTGATAGCAATCGGATAGCGAACAAAGCAGCACACGCGCCATGGTGCTCACCTCGGGCACATGTTGACGCTGGGTTAGCGGCAGGAAGCGATCCAATAGTACAGCCAAAAATGTTTGCGGCCCGCTGCCAATCAGCGGACTATCCGCTGGCGCATAAACATGCGAGAGCAGCACGCGCGGCACCAGCGATTGATACGCGCGCGTCGTGTCCGCCAATAGCTTCAGCAATGTGGCACGCGACAATGTCGGCTTGTTGTGGCTATGTGCACTGGTCGGTATATGCCAGGTGCAGCAGCAAGGCTCATATTTATCCGCCGATCCGCCGGCTGCCGAAGAACCAGCACCAGTCGATGGTGTCGCTGAGCCGCCCGTTTTCTTCAATGTAGCCGATGTTTCCTGCAACAAAGATGGGCAAATCAAGGTACATTACACAACTGAAGAGGGGCATTCAGATTGGGAATATGTGAAATAGTGAGACTAGCGCACAGTCAATACATAAGCTGCATCCAAAACAAAGTTAACAATTGAATAGCTAAAAGGATAAGCTTGGCAGGTTGAAATAATTGAATTGAAATGGACTCACCTCATCATCGGGATTACCAATAGAGCCTGCAGCGCCTGGCGGCTGATCTGGCAGCAGCAGCTCGGCTGCATTTTGCTGTTGTTGATCTGGCGCGGTGCCGCCATAATGGCAACAGGGCTGCACTAGTGCCAGGAGCAGCTCCTTTAGCACAGAAATGGATGACTGCACCATCGGATCATCGATGATGTCATCTTTGGTCGGTGATGGGTCTTTCTGTGTGGACGATGATGCAGACGCTCCAGCGGCTGCGTTTGCGGCTGCTGCGTTCGGTTGTTGTCCAAACTTGGATTTGACCATGACGCGTCCATCATCAATCAAATTGCTGGTGCTATTCGCATTGATCATATACTCGCCCTTGAGCATCTCCTTGGCGGCGGCCACAAAAATCTTTGGATCACGGGACACCGCCGTCGAGACCTGGGTCAGAACATAGATGAGATCACGATGACCCACCGGCACAATGCCAGCGGCGCGCATGCCCAGCACACGTTCCATTGCCTCCTGCAGCACCGGTGGCGCCTCCAGCACATGACGCAATATAATAATGGCATAGGTGGGGAAGCCCATGAAGCTGCACGACTGCTGCAAATGGAGCAGCATGCGCACACCGCCACAGCGTATGAACACCTGGGCGTTCTCAAAATTGCGCGTGAGTCGTGCACATAGCCGCAGCAGCGACAATTTTGTCTCGTGATGCAGCAGCTGGGTGGGCTGCAATAGGGCCACAATACTGCCAATAATGTAGCCACAATCGAATTTACTGAGGCCCACATTCTCCTCGTTCAGCACTATTTTCTGGGTGCGCTTGGGTATTGCGGATGTGCCCGCCGTGCTGGTGGTATGGCTAGCGCTGCTGCTGCTGTTGTTGTTGTTGTTGTTGTTGTTAGTGCCAGAGTTGGATGACGCTGCAGCTGCGGCTGCCTTTGCTTTGGCTGCAGCGGCGGCGCTCTTCTGACGCGACTTGCTGCGTGTGGTCATGGCGGGCGGTGGTGAATAATTGCCACCCAGCTCATCATTGGCTGCAGCAGCGGCGCCGGCCGACTCCTGGCCCTGTGCCGTCGCAGCCGCCGACGACGACGACGACGATGACTCCTGCGCTTGCGGCGGCGGCGGCGGTGGTGGTGGTGGTGGTGGTGGTGGTGCTGCTGCTGTGGCGGGTTCATTGAAATTGATAAGCTGACGCAACGGCACCAGCTCATCAGATTGTATGGTACCATTGCCATCGGGCGCTGTGCGCACCACACGATTCAATATGTTATCAATTTTTTGGGGTGCTATCGGATTTTGCAATTGACTGATAGCCTCGCATATTTTCAGTGCCGGATAAACGGGACGATGACTGCCCGAGGCATCGCTCACCTGGGTCATGCAATTGAAGCTAACCGTGCAGCGCTGTCGTCCAATGTTGATGTGTAGCCAACGCTCGCCGGCGGCATAGGCGCTGCGTATTAGCTCATTGTTAGCCTCCGAATAGGCATTCCATTTGCCTGTGGATGCATCATACCAACGCCACAGATCACTGCTAACCGCACGCATATTTGCCTTGCGCTGCAATATATGACTGATGCTATCGATGGCATCGATGAGATCGACCAGATTTTGCACCCAACGCGGCACTGTTGCACGTGCCTGATTATCCACAATTTGCGACTGCTCCAACATCCATTGGCTCATGCAGTCGAGCAACTTAACAAGCGACACCATCGCATCCTGTGCGGTTATGGCCTCGACCAATGGACGATGCATATCACTGTAGTTCTCCTCCAGCAACAATGTAGATGTTTTCAATCGCACAAATAAACGTGTGGCCGTCATGCCTGTCAGGCATTCCTCCAGACGACCTGGTTTCGGCGCTGCCTTACTGTTATTGCCATTGCCCGGCTGGTTGGCTGCGGATTGGGCACCTGCAGCTCCGCTGCTGGCTGCTCCCGATGCCGGCTCAAATAGCTGCAGCGTAAAGTCCACCCACTGTATAATGTTGCGCACAAAATTGGTGACAAACACCTGACGATTCAGCTGATTGAGGCGTCTGTAGAGGACCGCTATAAGATCGGCGGCACTGTTGACTGTATCCGGTATGGCCTCCATGAATTCAAAGGCACGCGACACGGCCTCATCGCAGAACCGATCAAATATGAATGGCGGCATCAATTTCAATTGCCTGTAATCATATCCGCTTGTTGTTGCCGGTTTGACAACCAGAGCGGGTGCGGTTGCGGCAGCTCCAGCTCCAGCAGCAGCAGCAGCAGCAGTAGCAGCAGCAGCATCACCGGCAGCATCTGTTGTCAAACTGGATGTAGAAGCATTGGCGGCACCACCGCTGCCCGGCAACTCCATATCAATGTCCGTATCACCAGCAACAGCTGCATTCGATGCAGAGCTGCCCTGTGATAGGCTTTGTGTTGAGCCAGTGCCAGTGCCGGTGCCGGGCCCAGTCTGTCCCTGTCCCGAATGGGATAGAGCGCTTGCCTCCGGATTGTTAAGCAGATAATCGGTGGCCTCCTCGAGTGAGGCATTACTGCGCAGCGCTTCGATAATGTGATAATGACGGAAGCCCATATCGGTCAGAGTCTTGATGTGATCCGCATTGAGGCCATCGTCGGTGCTGCGTATATAAAGATTCTCAAATTTGATTTCCTTCATGCGCGTATGATAGCGATCGAGCAGCATTTGATGTGACTTGATTAGATGTTTGAGTATCAGCAGGATTGTCTCAAACATGCTGGCGCCATAATTTGGTATGGGTCGACGGCACCAGATGCGACGCAGCGCCTGCATGGCCAGCTGATGGATATGGATGAGATAGAATATTGGCTCAAATGGCACACTATCCGGCATATAATTGAGACGTGGACTCATTGTGTATGGTGAGTCGAGCATGGCTCGTGGATTCACCATTTTTTCGAGCAACTGCAGCCAGGCATCCAGAAATTCACCCGTTCCTTCCGGACAATCTCGTTTATCATCCTCGTGCGATTGCATTAGATCATCTAGCGGTGCCCATTGATCAAATACAAATTTCTGCGAAACATTATCCAATGACAAGGCCCAATAGAACATCTCGAAAAATGCCTTCAGGCCATTCTCAGCGCAAAACTGTGAGATCATCAAATGGAAGGCGCTGCGTTTATCATCGAACAGCATCGGTCCGGTAAACCCAACCGAGCAGATGAGAAAGGTTAATTTCAATTTGGGCACCGGTTTTGGTAAAATGCTCTCATGACTGAATCCATTCACCAGTATCGAGCTGAGTATGCGGGCAATTTCGCGCGCCTCGGGCGTAGGAACTTTATTAATGTTGCTAATGAGGTCATTGATGCGACGCTGGCGCGTCTGTGGCGAGCCCACCGATAGCTTGACCAGTGTGCCCAGCAATTCAGCTAGGGCGCGTCCCAGACGCGAACTTGCCGCCAATAGCGATTTGATATAGCGAAATTGCTCTTCGGGTGTATATTTGGTACGAAATTCAGCAGCGCGTTCCAATTTACGCGACAATTCGGCTTCAGTCATGGGATCCGCTGTGCCGGCTGCGGCAGACATTTGTGCAGCGATTTCATCCCAAATGAGATCCGGATGCTGTGTGGGCTCATCCGAGCATAAATTCAATAATATTGTGCTCTCCCATACCAGCGATATATACAGCTGGACAAGCTGTTGCAGCAGCTGTACGCCCGTCTCACGATTGGCGCCCCAACGTTTGAGCAGCACTGTTCGCATCTCGGTGGATGCATTGCGACATAGATGCACCAACATCACCACATAGCCATGCACAAAGCTCATGTTGTGCAAAATTGGTGTATATTCGGCATTGGCGAAACCATCCTCCAAACGCTGACAACAGACAAGCTCGGCGAGCAGCACACTGCCGCCGGGAAATGTGAAATGCTTGATTAATGGCTTCAATTGTGCCACGATGTCAGCCAGCTGCTTAAGCGCCACATCCAGCACCTTGGTCTCCTGTGCCTGACTCAGTATGGCCTTGCAGACATTGGCCACAGCCTGCGATGTTGTTGATACAGGCGAGTCTACCGGCAAATTGGGCAGCGATAGCAGCTGCAATATGGGCGTTAAGCCATCCTTTTGTACAAATTCACGGCAATGATCACCATTTGGACTGTTGCTGAAGATTGCCTCAATGAATTTCATCACATTAAGTATATAATCAATAAGGGGTATGGCCTCGCGTTCAGGCTGTTGCTGTTGTTGTGGTTGCTGCTGCTGCTGCTGCTGTTGCGGCTGCAACTGTTGTTGCTGCTGCTGTTGTTGTTGTTGTTGTTGTTGTTGCTGCTGCGGCTGCTGTGGGCGATTAGCTGCAACAGGATGCTGTTGTTGCTGCTGCTGCTGTGCTGCACGCGACTGTTGCTGTTGTTGTTGTTGCTGCTGCTGTGATGCGGAGCTCATCTCATCGTCATCATCATCATCATCGCCGCTGCTATCGTTATTATCTGCAGCACTCTGTAGCACAGGTCCAGCTGCCACCATTACCATAGCGGATGGCGAGGGCGTTGAAGGTGCCGCGCTATGTGTGGCATTTGCTACGCTGCTCTCCTTATTGGCACGCCAGCATATAAAACTGGGATCCGAGCCAAGTCGCACCAATTCATTAAGCAGCCGCACAATTGCTTCGGTGGCATCGGCACGCAAATATGGATGATGCTTGATAAGATCATCCATGGCATTGCCCAAATTGGTAGCCGTATCACCCAATGGATCTGAGCTGCGGCGTCGGCGCATAGCCACCAGATAGTCCGGTGATAGCAGAACCTTCAATACCTTATCAAATGGATCATACGACAAGAACTCAAAGAGTCCCCGCTCGTTAAGGCACAGCGCCGAGAAGACATTTGGCAAGGAGCCAAGCACCTCGCGTGTTGCGGGCACATCCTTCTGCAGCAGCGCCTTAAGCATCACACTGGTTATGCCCAAATCCTGTAGCGATGACAATAGCGATGGCTCATTGAATACATAAACGGTGACCACATCGGTGGCCAACAAAAACAATGATGGCCCATAATACTCGGCATTGGCGATAATGTGACGCAGCGATTGTGTCAAACTGGTCTCCATAATGTTGCGCATATTACTAAAATGTGCATGATCCTGTATGCTCTTCTTTAAGAAGTTCAACATTGATTTTAGCAGCGCCGCCCGCTGGGTCACACATGATGGTTTCTTTGGCTGCAAACTGCTGGGCAGCTGTGAGGACAGCTCCGCTTTGCGCTCGGCGAGCGGACGCGCATAATAGCTATTCGCTGGATACTGTACGGGTCTGTCGCGTGCAGCTGCATCGCCGCCGCTGCTACTGCTGGCTGCTGCGGCCAGGCTGCTCAACGCATGTATACCCGAACCGCGTGATCCAATGTCCATCCAACCGGCTGGTGTGCCAGCACCAGCACCTCGCGGCTGATCACCGCCACTGTGTTCCATATAGACGCGATACGCACGCTGAGCATGATCGCTGGCACTACCGCTGCCATCGCTGCTCGAATTATCGCGACGCGGCGACGCGCTGCCGCTGGCTACCGATGCATTCTCCGTGGCAGCATCTGTAATTTATCGAACAAGCTTAGCATAACAGTTAATTATGAATTTCATCCACTTACCATCATCATCTGCCTGCTCCAACGAGCTGTCCAATTTATCTGTAAGGCTGTGCTCGTCGCGCAGCGTTGACTCTTTCAGTGTGATACCAATTTCGGCCAGGGCACGACAACAACTTTTGATCTCCTTCTCGAGACGATCGATAAATACATTGAGCCCATTATTCTGATGGAAACGTGCGATGTCTATGTTGGTGATTAGATCAATAACGCGTACGGCGCGTGTCACAAATGTTATGTGCTCCAGATCGACGCCGGGCCAACTTATGACGCGCAACAGTGACTGCATCATGCCGCTCTTGACAAGCGCCGAACCGCCCAGCTCGTAACTGGCCAGATGGTACAGCAGCGAGAATAGCGAGGTGGCCAATATTAATGGATAACGCTCCGTTAGGCCATGTGTGGTTAAATTATCGATGCAATCGCGCACCAGCAGCGGCAACGTACCGCCCTGTCGTTCAGCGCCCGTATAGTGCACAATTTTCATCAAACGGGATCCAGCTCTGCTGCACCAAACGGTTGAAAGGTCAAATGAGAAGGTGAGGGAATGGAAAAAAAAAGAGTTAAGAAAACAAGCAACAATAAAGCTAATTACATAAACTTAATTCGAATGCAACCAATCGGCATATTTCTATCAATCCATAGAATTTCAAAAATTCGTTAGACGCATTCGAGATTTAACCCACATGTCCCGTCTTTCTCACCTTGGCACACTGGGATTGCGATCAAAGTGTAGCATTGATGTGAGTGTGCGCAGCACTGCGGCGCGTATTTCCACCAAATGCACATCCTCCTTATCGATCAGTTCGCATAGCTCCTCGCCGAAGCCAGGATATAGCACTTTGTCTGTATTATCCTGCAGCGCATTTGAATATATCAATATGGACACTGCCTGCAGACGTGCCTGCACAAATTGCAAACGCAACTTATAATTGTTGAAGCCAGAGATAAGGCGCACACGATGTGCAATGCGCATCTGTAAGATTAACAAATGTACACATCGAATAATCATTAATTAATCATTGTGCTCAACAGTCGATAGAATTGATGCTAACCTTAATGGCCTCACTGGGCTTTGAGATCTGTCCGGCTATAGTTTTTATAACCTCGGGTGCTGCCGCTGTTTGGCAGAGATCCATCATGTCAGGTATTTCAAGCTGTGCGGCATGTCCATGCTCATCGACATAATCGATGCACAGCTGATAAAGGAACTCCAGCTTTGGCTCACCAATGCAGCAGTCCTTAAGCGATAGTCCGTAATTTGGATCGCCCCAACGCTGCAAATTAGAGCGGAAGGTCACATCACACATCATTTTACATATCAATGAATTATTGATACTCACCTCAGCGATATTGAAAAGTTTGACAATAAGCAACTCCTTTTTCTCAAACGGCAAACGTGGAATGAAGTTGCTGCGTTTCGAGAACATATAAAGCAGATTAAGCACGGCCAGCACAATGTCCATGTTCTGTGATGATAAAAGTTGCGTCAAATGCTCAATTGAATTGTACAAATGGCGCGAGAACGAATGCTCAATCAGCAGAGTTGTGAAATTGAGTACGTGCAGCAGCAGGGTAACATCCTGTTAAAGAAAAATTGGAAAAATTAAAATTGCTGTATGCATCACTCTAATATTTGGACATATATCAATATTTAAAGATATTTAACAAATTCCTATGTTTATTTAAACAATTTACAAGCACACACTCACCGATTCTATAAATGTTGTATCGCACTGCAGTACAAACTCATTGCCATTGACATGGCGGGCCGCCTCCTCGAGTATTTTGTCAAAGCGATCCAATATTTCAATCCAATGATATAGTTCACATTTACCATAAATCCAAACGTGCACAGTGTCCAAAAATTCAAGCAGCTCGGCACGCGTGCGTCGTTTGGTCAATTCATCAATTAATTCGCGACATTCTGAAGTTAGCTCCGAAGAGCCTTTCTTCAGTTTAACGGTGTCCACCTTCATGGCTGACGCCTGCTGCTGCGTTAGCTGCCGACGCCGCCGTGCGTATGTGGTTGGTTCAATCAAGTTGGTGCGTTTTGTGTCTTCTCAATCTTATTAATTCGTATTATAATGCGTTCAAATTCAGTTTATCGTTTCGTATTTTTCTTGCTTGTAATAGCTTTGCATCGAGTTGTTCAAATTTTATACGTCAAAGTCTTCAATAAACTGCAATCGAGAAATGTCATCCGCGTATAATTAAAAAAAAAATAAAAAATTACAAAAAACAATTCATTACTTAGCCGTAATACTAGATCGATCTGGCAAAAAAAATAATAACTAAATACAATTCACAATAATTCCCAACTGGTGTACGTAAACACTGAAATAATATGCGATTTTTACAGGCTCTCTCACACAACAGCAGCCGCCAGGCAAAATGAAATTAACGCGAAAACTAACTGCACTCGCCGTCAGTTGTCAGTTGTCAGCTGTGGCCGACGCCGACGACGACGCGAAGAACAACGTCGACGTCGACGTCGTCGCCGCCGATTGTCTCAATTTCGCTGGCGAGTTGCAACAATAACACAAACAGCATGCAATTGGAGGCGAATTCCAACTAGCAACGATAATGGCAAGGAATTAAAAAAAAAATAAAATAAACAAAATAAAATTATTTAAAAAATATATATATATGTATGAAAATAACAAATAGCGCCCGCGCGCGCACTGTTTGTGCGAGAGTAAAAACAATTAGAGGGTATTGCTATTGCCTGCTTGCCTCAGCTCCGAACCTTGAATAATGCGAAGCTGCTGATTTTAATAAGCAGAAATTTATAACATAAGAGAAAATGACTTGCCTAACCTGCCGCTGCAGACGAAATGTTATCGATAATCGTCAGCTGTTCACTATTCAAACTGACATCAATCAAAGGGAACACAAAGTCTGGCCCCACTTGCTGTGTGTTTGTGTGTGTTCGTGTGACCAAATTTAATTATGTTTTTTTTTTTTTTGATTTAGAACTTTTAAAGGAAGCACAACAACGTTTGGTTATTGGTTGCCATTAAAGGCGGCTTTCTAAGAAATAAACAAATAGTTTTATATGCCTTTCTCAGCTTAGTAAACTGCAGGAATGCCCCTATTATGTGCTTTAAAAAAATGCAAACAAACAGACGCAAATAAGGAGCAGTTTAGGATAGGCATTACTCTGTAAGCCACAACTTGTTTATAACTTCTATTAATTTCTTCCTATTGCGGTGCACACTTAAGAATAAACAACGAGTCTTAGGTGTCGTCGTCGTTGGTTGTCGTTGTCGACGTCGCCGCGGTCGCGGCCGCTGCAGCTGCAACCACAACAGAAAAACGAATTCGCCGAAAAAGACCAGCAACAAATGCATATGTGTTTGCCCGTATATATATATGTGTGTGTGTGTGAGTGTTTTGTTGCGTGTGTTTTGTGTCCGTGTATTTCACGAAAGCTATTGCATATAAAGAAATCTATGGGCAACAATATTTGGTTGTTGCATTTTAAGCAATGGCAACAAATGCCTTTCTGGTCGGACATATCCACACACATACAACGATGTATGCATGTTTGCACGTACATATGCACATAAATACACATACATATACATTATGAGCGAGCACTTCACAGCATTTTGCAATAGCAGCAGCATAGCATATTTTACCTGCTTATTCTTTATTTTTTATACCGTTTAATGGTCCTTTGCGTATTTTTTCTCCCGAAACAATCACACGCACACTCTCGCACACACGACGGCAAATTTTGTAGCACGAAGTGCAAAAAAAAATAAGAAAAAGAAAAACCGAAAGTGCCGAAGAAATATCAAAATAATCGTGTAGTCGCAAAAAAAAAAATGTAACAAAAAGAAAAAAAAAAAAAAAGAAGAGATTGCCACAGGCTACACAATGCAGCATGCATGTGTGTGCGTAGATGCATTTATATAAAAAATTAATGATCGATACTTACATTTACATTAAACCGCAGCATATTGCTGCTATTATTGTTATCTTATTTTCGATCTAAAAACGTTCTTATTTGGTTTGACAATTGTAATTTCAGTTTGTAAAATTCCCTCAGCACGCACTTACACACTTATACTTTAGAAACAACACTGTCGTCTTGGGCAGCTCGTGAACAAATTGGTTCGATTGTGTGAACCACTTGAATGCGAGCGAGCTTAGTTTGTTCACCAAGCGCAGGTGTTCATTTGAATGAGTATGATAAATGGCAAATTCTTTTGATTTATTTTGCTTACCCTTTAAAATATTAACTTTTCTCCAAAAACAAAACAATTGCTAGTTGCTGGATTTATGCGCAATTTCTATTCTCGTTACATATCAGGATGGCATAGAGCTGACTGGTTAATTTGAGCCGGCACCTAAAGCTTATGTAAATTGATATATATATATATATATAGTTATTATAATTTGGGTATGTGTAAAAATAAAACTAAATTGACACATAATTATTAGCCAAAAAACTTACAACATTTTTATATAATTATTTAAATGTGGCCCACTTGGTTCCGTTCTTCTGAATTCGCTCATTCACCAAACGGATTTGATATGCAACACTGTTTTTTAGCGAACTGAGGGCTGCACAATAGGTTAGAACTGCTTGAATACTTATCGATGTACGGACACGATAAAATAACATAATCCTTTACTACGAGCGCAAATTTGAGTCAGCCGAAATTATTTGAGTTACAGTCAACAAAATCAGGGCCTACTTTGAAACAATTTCAAACAATTAGCCATTTTGCATTAATATCCATAAGTAGAAAAGGACTTCATTCGATCTAGGATTTCACGATTATTGCACAACAGCCTATCGAAGATCCAAATTCTGATTTTATCTTAAGTTGCAGGTTTTATTATTTAATAATTTAATAACTTAATTACAATATTTGGCTCATAGTTTTAATAAGAACATGTACAAACGTAAATACTATGTAAATATATATATTCAATTAATGAAATGTTAAAAACTGTGCGAAAAACGTACAAGGAAATGTTTCGAGTTTTGCTACTTAATTCGAATATTTGGTTCACATTTATCAATATACATACATATTAAAATAAATAAATACTATTTAATATATGAGTTAAAATTTCTCGAAGCTTAGTGCATTTAAAATGTACATTAATTAATCTAATTAAATAAGTTTATTATGTACATCTTTATATATTCATGACTTAGAGTTCACTTTGTTTGTTTTGTTTTTCGTTTGTCCTGGCTAAAAGCCATGCAAGTGTGGACTGACTGCTTCGCTGCTCTGTCCCGTCTCGGCCTCAAACAGAACCTGTTGGATGCGCAGCTTGGCAACGGAACGGGAATACGGATCGGGTATTGTGCGCAATTGTGAGGCAACGCTTTGACCAAAAACAAACAAATCATCATCACTGCCGGCAACCTGTCCAGTTCCATTTGAGCCAGAAAAGCACACGGCATGGTTTGTGTTTGAGCCCAATTCTAGCTGCTGCGACGGCGATGGTGAGGCAAACGGCGTCGACAGTCTCTGATGTGGCTGCTGGGATTGTGACGGATGGTTTTGCCCATAAGTCATATACTTTAATTTACGTGGCGCCGTCTGCTGTTGCTGCTGATGTTGAGCTTGCTGCTGTTGTTGTTGCTGTTGTTCTTGTTCCATTATGCACAGCGTGGAGTCATCGATGATGAGTTCGCTTTTGTTGGGCGCACGTGTGGAACAATTGCTGGACACCTCATCTGTTTGACTGCTCGCATTTGGCGGTTTGTTTGTGTTTGTGCCCGTGCTGACGGTCGTTTTTGTCGGTTGCTCATTTAACTCTGTGTTATAAGCATCATCTGTCAGCTGTCCCACCGACGACTCCAACTCATCCTCATCCTCGCCCTGCTGCCGCTGCTGCAACGCACCCTCAATTAGCTCCCCAGAAGCGTTGAGCAGAATTCTTAGTGGTGTTTCCTTTTTGATGTCTACGCTTGTATTGTCCACATCAGCATCCTTATTCTTGACCTATCAAATCAATATACCAAATATGCATACATATATATATATATTTTGTCAATTATATGGAGACTTACGCGTTTGCAGTGGGAGAGCGAAACGGCGCGCAGAAACGAATCGGCGCGCCTGAACCAAAAGAGCTTCGGCTCGTAACATCTGCCCAGCTCCTTTTCGCGCATTAGAATCCTTAATTCTTTTGTGTAAACGGTGCGTACGCTTTTGATTTTCAATTTAATATCGAGCACAGTTAATTGCGGTATTTTGAGCGTCCTGATGATCGCCTCGTACGCCTCCTCACGCGCTACACGATTCTTGTAGGTGTCCAGCAAGGAATTATAGAGGCATGGCTGGCGTCTGTAGGCCTCCAGGAATTCGGTGATTGGTATTTTTGTTTCATTTAACTTGGCCATCGTGTTTGGTGTTTGTTAAAACAAAAACAACAACGAAAACAAAAACAACAGCGAAATATATGTATGTGTTTTTGTTGTTTACACTGGATCCTAGAGATGGCATAATCAGCTGTGCTGTGCGCTTTGCACGGTTTCTTTTCGGCTTTTATTATTTCTTTTTCTTTTTCGCACGCAACAGTTATCGTTATCGTTAATCGACATTGTTAGTTTTGCAAGCCGGCAAGCAGCCGCTCGTAAAGATATTTGCCGCGTTTTATGCTTAAGCTTTGTTTACAGTTATTTGAGAGTTAAAGCCAAACAAACACAGAACAAACACAAAATGGATGGTATGTAGTTGTTGTAGCTTATAAAACAAATAACTAAAATCTACATGTCGCCTCAATTAGGTGGTGTGCTCGAGGACATGTGGACGCCGTACAAGCGTCTGTACGATATATGCCAGTTGGCCATAAGGAATCCCAATGAGGTCACGGCCGATTTTGAGCTATGCCTCAAAAAGTATAAACAGAACTTTACCAATTTTCTGCGCAATCCGGTAAGTAGACACTCAAAATACTGACAAGCAACATAACCTAAACCGCTCTCACCTCAACTCCTCTGCCATCGTCTATGATTCACTGGGGCGCAGCCGAAGAGTGAGAAGAGCCGTTCACACTTGCGCAATGCGCTGCTGGAGGGTGTCATGCTGGCAGGGCAATCGCGTAAAGTGGAACTCTCACAGGAAATAATTGATGAGGCCATCATATTGTCCGATATGTTTGATTTGGATGAGATCTTCGCCTTGGAGCTGCTATGCACGGCACAGCGTCAACAGGTGCATCATCCGGGCCTACCGCGCGGTCTGGTCGCGGTATTGCTTTACTATGATGGTCGCAAGGCAATCACTTGTACACTGCGCGACATGTTTCAGGCTGTGAGCGGCGTTTCCTGGAGCACCGAACTGCCCAGAGAGGTAAGCGAAATATATATATATATATATATGCATTTATATAATATATCATAATTTATTGATTTTTCAACTTGCAGATGACCGCCTTGATCAACAACTACTGCCAGAATCTTGTAGAAGATTCCAACATACTTGGGCGTCTGCTGGAGCTGCTAGCCGAAATGGACATGGAGAGGGAGGTAAATATTGCAGGGCATATATAATACTCAACATAGATGGCTAAACAGCAAACACATTTACACAGATTAGTTTACTGACCAAAAATCGAGCCTTTGGCTCAAAGAAGCATCAGAATCAGGTACTGGCCCTCTATGAGGATACACGCAAAGCCTTGGCCATGGCCCTATTCCATTGGTCTGCTCAGCGTGGCCTGCCCAAAAACATTGCCATACGTTTGCTGCAGCATTTGGCCAATACGAAGTCAACCGATGCCGCCGGCAATATGGACGACGTAACCCTAATCATGTTGATGGCATTGCTCTATGCCTACGATACCTCCGTGCTGCTGATAACCGAATGCGATAGTCCGCATACGGCACGCCTGCCCATACTGAGCGATCCCGATTATGCCAAGTGTTTCTATGAGGCAATCTATGCGCAGAGCAGCTGGCAGACTCAGCATCTGGATGCCATTATCAAGTATAGCTTTGGTTTGACATTGGCCAGTCTGCGACAGGCGCCAAGCGAACTGCAGGCCAATGCCGGCGCTCTAATCAATCGGGATGAGCAGCTTATTGACGAGGCGCTGGCGGCAAATGTTTTTACCTTTTTCTATCGCCAGCTACTGGAGAAGAATGTGGTCTATACGTGAGTTCTGGAATGCAGTTAATTATTGCATAAATTATTAAAGTTCTTAATATTATAATACATTGCAGAACCGAATTCATTTATCGCCGCCTACACCTGCTCATCACGGATTTTATAGATTTCATGCATGCCAAGGTATCGGAGCTGCGCGGTCGTGCGGATGAGACAGCTCGCACAGTGATTAGCTTTCAGAATGAAGGTCTCGAACCGCCGCCAAATCTGGATGTCAACTTTGAGCTCCTGATGCTGTGCGTGGCCAAGTTGTATGGCGATAAACGTGCCACCATCACGTTATGCAACGAGTATTGGGGTCCAACGGATACAACAACAGCCAACGGTGTCGCCAATTATGTTCAAAATACCTCACGCGCCGTCTCACTGTTCAAGTTTATACGCTTGGCCAGCGAGCTGCTGCCGCAAACTCTGTTCAGATCCTATTTAAAGATGATTGCTGGCCTAACACGCACCGAATTTGCGGCACGCTGCGCCTTCAATCTGCTCAAGAATTCACAGAACTTGTCGTCCACCTATGCCGTCAGCTGGGATCATTTCTTCAATGCGCTCAACAATTATTTCAAGTACGTGGTGTAGAATAAATATCTCTCTAGGATAATTTAGTTTCCAATACGCGTCTACGACACGTTATATAGAAAATCCATATACGCAAATTTTATATTAATATTTTGTTATATCCTTTACAGCAACATGCGAACCGACTTCGACAGCATGGCCAATGCCGGAGATTCGATTTATCGGAGCACTGGCATACCACGTAATATGACGCCACGTGAAACGGAACACATGGCTGCTGTGATGGGCATTATGCAGGCCGTCGCTGAGAATGATGAAATATCGCGAATTATGCTCTGTGAGCAGGCCAATTGGCAGACGCCGCAGGTGCTGCTCGGCCTGGTGGCCTGCTCGACGCCGGTAATGCTTAAGGGCGAAATTTTGTTTACGCTGGCC